ATTACTCCGTCCTAGGTGCAGAATCTGGCAATTTGACTTGTTAAATTTCATCCCATTAGTCATAGTCCAGTGCTCCCGTCTATCTAGATCCCTCTGCAAGGCTTCTTGTCCCTCAAGAGAGTCAACAGCACCTCCCAGTTTGGTGTCACCAGCAAACTTGCTAATGGTGCATTCAACTCCTGCACCCAGATCGCTGATAAATCTATTGAACAGACCTGGCCCTAGAGTTGAGCCCTGAGGAACAGCGCTGGTGACCGGTCACCAGCCAGATGCACCCCATCCACTACAGCCCTTTGAGCTCTGCCCTTCAGCCGGTTCCTCACCCAGCGCACCGTGAGCTACTTTAGAAGTAGGAGTTAAATATGCACTGTAAACCTGATTGAGTATGTCAGTGTTGTGCTTGGAACTGAAGGGTGTGTGGAGCTAAACCTCTGGACTTGTAGTCATCAACTCAGTCTTACCCAGCTGCCTTCAAATAACTGCCATGCAAAGGTAAAACCTGGGTTCCGTAGTTCAAGAAATAAGACAAGAATGTGACATCGTAATAAAATACACTTTGGTCTGGAGTGCACATCAGGATGTAAATCATTAAGCAATTGTTTAGATGCAATATTTACTGGTTTCTTTTCCTAAGGCATAGCTCATATTTAAGATAAATGAACTGAAGTTTAAAAACAGCCAGAAAGTAATATTTTAAGTGATTTTTTTTTTTTTAAGTCAGATTTTTATCTTCTTAATTCTCCTTTGATTGTTTCATGGACATATGTCCTATTTAAAAAAGAAAAAAACATTAGTAAAATTGAAATTTGGGTTAAACAGCTAGGATTTATCAGTCTGACTTGATTCATATTCGGTGGATGTGAGGTGCAATATAAACCTGCTAGTTCCCTGCAATCTGCCACCTTGTTAACTGATTGATCCCAAAAGAGAGTACAGATCAGTTAATAGTGATGCTAACATACGAGCTTGGCTGGCAGCCAAACAAACACGGCCGCTGTTTCAAATCTTTAAGTAGACTCAAGAAAGAAATGATCTTTTATTATATTGACTTAAATTACATTTCACAAATAAGAGCAGTTTCATGGCACCTTTATGCAAGGCAAACTTGAATCCTTGTCACTTTGCTCTTGGCTTTTCATGCTCAAGGAATCTTTTGACTCACATTTAAAATATCTTTTTTACCGTTAAGCTTGCTACCAGGAGAACCGTTAAGATTTTTCTTAAGTGTTTGTTATTCTTCCTGGCCCACAGCCTCACAGCAGTGTTTTGTAGGATTAGTGCAAATCAGTTGTGTGAGAGATGTATATGAAAGATGTAAGATAAGAATCCTTCCATGTATTAATGCCTTTGGATCATCATTTCAAAGTGCTGCATGAGAGAGAGAGACCAGAAATTGCCGATGAGTGTCAGCCCCTCCTGCAGGGACACGGATTTGCTGTCCAGTGGTTCATATCAACAACAAAAAAAAAGGAACTGTATTGGTGCAAAAAAAATCAATCTCCGTGCCTCATGCTGTACCTAGAAGCTGCTCTTTTTTTTTTTTACTTCCCAAGAGGCAATTAAAAATTAATTTTCTATTTCATAAAGGAGGAAAAAAAAAAAAGCCAAGCTACCTGAAGCAGACATTCATTAAAATAAAAGTAATACAGAGAAAAATTCTTTCTCTATTGAAAAGAAAGGTTCAGACAGATGGAGGGTTTTTTTTTTTTCTCCATACAAAATGACGACTTCTGCAATTAGTGTGTTTTGAAAGGTCCAAAAGGTCAGATTTTCAAAAGCATAAATGATTGCTGGAGTTAGTCTTAACTGCTTTTTGTGCCATTTGAAAGTCTCCTCCGGAGAAGATAAAATACCTTGTAACATTTTTGTTGTTAATTAGTATATGTAAGTCATTAAAATATTTTGGTCTGACTCTTGACTCTCCAGTTTAATGCAGTGCACATAGTAGGATAATGAATACAAAATTCAAACACTTTCTTATTCTTTGTTTTCCAGGGGCACAATAAAATCATAACTTACAGCAGACCTGTGTATTTTTGTATGTTGTGTGGCCTTATTTTGCTGCTAGATGCTGGATCTAAAGACACAAATCCTCCAGTTTATACAGTGTATGGCTTGAAGCTCTTTTCGCCTAGATCTCTCCAGTCAGCCAGAGACCATGTAATAGGTGAGTCAATATTTTTCCTAGGACTGTAAAAATGAATTAAGCGTTAGCCGGGGAAGTCTGTGTTTTCCCATGTTGGCAATCAAACGCGTGTTATGGAGGCACAACTCTAAGTCAAATTGATAGAAACATTTGGCATGACTTAAGACGGGTGCGGGGCGGGGGGGGCAGCTGGCAACCTTCCCTCAACTAAAAGGAGTTCTTAATGAAATGAGGCTCATAGAAAAGTCTCTATAGAAAACTAACAGTCGCTGATGTTATTAGCAAAAGACATCATCTGTGAAATGCAGTTAATCTTTGTAAGGGCTTGTCTATGTGAAGCAGTTACTGCGGAGTAAGCTGAGTTTTAAATTTAATGCCTGGAAGCTAACCCGTGCCAAGTCCTCAGATGGACATTCTTCCACTCATGACAAACATGGTCTTTCTTGGTTTAGTTTAATCTTGCTGTCCACGTGATGAGTTAGTGTGGAGCGGTCACTCCGCAGTAGCTCTTCCAACCTATTTCCTTCTGGAATCGTGTTCTGAGGTGGCTGAGGACATTCAGATATTGCCCCAAAACGAGACTGATGATCCTTTGGCACTAATTTGAAGTGGGCGCAGCTGGAAATACCCGGTTCTGTCAGGACACTTCTTGCTGTTACACACTTGCAGTCTGTAACTGTGATGCTGCTGTAGTTGTGTCACAGGTACGAGTGCTAAACTGGACTTGGGTCAGGTAGTGCAACACTCTTGGGTATGAAGTAGAAAAGTTAATGTTTACTGTTAAAGTTGTGAAAACTTCCCAAGAGCTGTGTCATAGTGTACCAAAGATGACCTGTTGGTTTGTGAATTTAGAACCAGGAAAACCTACTGTAGTAGAGGAAAAAACTTTGTGGTATAGAGTGTATGACCTTCGAGGTCTTTGTTCACTTGGGACTGTTGTACTTGCTTTTTGCTATGCTCAAGTCAGGCTATTACTGCCTGAAAGGCATACTATTTTTAGGAGAGCCTTCTGGTCCTTTATAGGGGTTCATTGACTCCCAATCCTTCTCACCAGAAACATGGGAATAATGGAGACCTGCATCTCACTTTCATTAGCTTCTTTCATTACTTTCCTTTGGTCTCATTAAAGTTTCTTCTTACATCTTATTTTCTCTGCCTGTCAAAGGTGAACAGTAAAAATGCTGATAAATAATTCAACAAGAATCTTAAATGACGCTTGGGATAGAGATAAATGAAAAACTATAGCAACCAGTATAAGAAAACAAAGTGTGGTTATAAATGTGCTAATTTTAGCTGGCCTCAAAAGAAGTGGGAGAGTAGGTTCTTGAAACAGCCTGGAGGGAGTGGAGGAGAGGAGATACAGGCTTCTCTCCCCAGTTGGCATCTGTTTAATAAGAGAATGAGAGAGGGAAAAGAAACTATTTCCCTTTGCTTGTTCCCTCTTCTTATTTTGCCAGGCTGTATTTGTTCAAGTGATGTTTGGTGCCGCCCTTTTGCTATTCCTTGCTTTGTCTCCATGGGAGTCCCAACTTCTGGCTGCCGTGAATCCTTGCAAGTGTTCGCAGTGGAGCTACTTCTGTAAGCCATGGCAGTCTGGTATCCTCCAGCATCTTGCTGCACTTGGAGTATAGATTCCTTTAGGCACTGAAGGTGTAGAAGTATTTGGAGCAATAAAATCAGGGGGGAAGTCGGCCCCACTGAATATCAATGCAGTGTAGCTATTGTTTTGTCTTTTTACCTGTTTGCTAGGCATTTTTGGTATCTCTTTATTGGTTTGTCATCATATGATGACTTTTTAATTTATATTTTACTTGTAATTTATTGTAGTATTCAGAACTGATATGTTGGGAAATCAAGGGATTTTTGACTATACGTTACAAATACTGAGGAAAGGAAAAGTCTTCTCTTTCATTTGTTTGCTATGGTAAGAAGCTAAAGTGATGGAAATCATAGAAAGGACTTACCAAGGAACTAGTGTGATGCTGCATAGCATACTATGATAAAAGTCTTGAAACAAGGTTATAAAAGAAAATCAGTGGAAATTTGTTAGATGTGTAACCTAATTACTTAAGAAATGTGACTTTTAACAGGTCTTTGCAAGCAATCTATTTAGGATCTGATTCTCTTTTATTTTAAATTGATGGTGGTTCTGCTATTGACTTACATTACTTAGGGGATCATGGCTTTAATTCATTCTATGGTTTAAATCTTGAATTCCTTATTTCAGTTGACCTTTTTGTTAGATTAACGTACACAGTGCAAGTAAGGGCACAGCCAGAGCCGGCCTCAGTCACTAGGTGCTACAGGTGTGGTGAGTGACAAAAGTGGTTATGCACTTAATGTATGATGGGTTTTGTGATGGAACCATTTAAGCTTTAGACAGGTGAGTGAAAATATTTGGCAGACATCTCAGAAGAGTAAGTATCAGGTGGTAGCAAAGTTGTGTGATAACAAATCCTCTGCCTGCTACCTTCAGCAATAACTGAGCTTCTGTCAGGGAAAGAAAGCCTCTGTGAATGTTATCCTCTGCTGTGTTCAGGAGGGGAAGAACAAAAAGACCATTTCTCACTGAAATAACGCGTTATTTTTTTTTCCCTGTGAAAAAGTATGTATTGTTACGTAGCAAATGGACTAGTACTCAGATATGTCATGTTTTAAAAATAATAATTTTGTAAACTTCTGAAATGTTTGCAGTGACGCTGCTGCTGAGTTGCCATTCCACATTTCTCAAAAGACCCGAAGTTTCCAAAGTCAAAATGTGTGTTTCCCTCCTATACTTACCTGGTAGCTCCCCATTTAGAAGAAACCTTCAAACTGCAGTGTTAAATGCCAGCAGCTCACATAAGCATCTCTTAATGGTCCAGCTCTTAAAGGCGACGTTCTGTATGGAAACGTGTGATGCTTAAACAAATTCTCTCTGGAATTCATAATGCAATTCCAACTGATCAATCAGTTACTTCCCATAAGGGAAACTACTGCTCCTAAATTCAATCCTTTAGTAGGTGATACCTGATTGTTTTCCTCTCTGGTATGCTCCTTTGTGCAGGATGAGATAAACAAAGCTACCTTAGCTAAAGAAGTTGTTAGGATTATTCAAGGTATTAATAGAGAGAGGGTGAGGTGAGGACATTGCTGTAGTCAATCAACTTTTCCCTCCTTGTTTACATTCACCCCGATATATTTTGGTGTACTGACAGGATAATGTCTCTGGTCTTGTCCTTCCTTCCTCTGCTCTTAGTCGGCTTTTTCTGAGGTTGCTACAGGAAAGGCAATCATTCGGACTGTAAGTCAGTACTCTGAGTTCTGGCAGTTCTGCAAGACCTTTGCCTGAGGAACAAGATCTCCTGTGAGTTTCAGCAGTGAGTTTTGGGGGACAGTTGATCCCATGGCGAGCCCACGCGGCCTGCTGGGCAGTTTGCTGTCCTGCCATTGTCTGTCTTCAAGGGTGGTCCTTGCTTGGCTCGGTATGGCTCGGTGGAATATCTGAAAGAAGAGCATAGTAGTAAAGGAAGAGGAGATTAATAATGGCATTTGCATGTAAAAGCTTGAGAAGACAGCATTTCCTCATGTTCTTACAGACATGTAATTTGGGCCAGCAGCAGGAAGTCGTGATGAAGGGTGCATTGTGAATGCAAGTATGCTTAAGTGAGCCCTGTCTGTGTTTAACACTTCAGTATGTCATTTTTCCTCCTGTGTTTGACTTCCTCAGGAAGATTTACAATATTAGATAGCAGTACTGTGTGTAATATGAAGAAAAAAGCTGTCAGATTGAACTCAGTGTATTGTTTTATTTTAGCACAAGATACATGAGTAAGAGGCACTGGGAGTAAAATGTGAAATTAACATTCAACCGTGAACACAAATTCTACTGTTACCGTCTTAAAATTTGACTGGGGTGAAAAGGGTAATAAGTTGTACCAGTGATTTGTTTAATTTGCTTTTTATGAGAATGAATAGGAGGAAACTGTAGTCTTCCTAGCATGCAAACTAACAAATATGTATTTGTTTACGAGGAAGAGTGGCTGACACACATCTCTCTTCTTCACCACACAGAACATTCTGGTACCAGTACAACGAAGCAGTGAGAATGTGATTAAACATGTACATCTGTCCTTGAAAGCTGACAGTATTGGAGGCTTGGGTCAAGTGTGTGTTTAGATGCTTTGTTAGACAACTGTGCTTAGCGCACATTTCTAGGGTGGAGCTAGGAGTAAATGGATGGGAAGGCAGAGTGGCTGGAAGTGAGCAGAACATAATGACTCCTGCTTTTCCTTGACTGTAAGGCAGCCATTTAAATTAGCATTTCTGTTGTGTAAAGATGTCAAACTGGGTTTTACCCCTGAGTTTCTTTTACTGCTTTTAATGTAGTTTCACTACTGCAAAGTCAAGGTCCATCCTGCTGGAAGCTGGGGAAATATTTTGGGAAAGTTTCACTATAGGGTTGTCCCATTTTTATGTGCTGCTGTTAAGTGTCTGCTGTTGATTGCTGGCAGAGGCAGGATACTCTGATAGCCAAGATACTTGGGATCTTAGCCATTAAAAATATTTTTTGTTTGTTTATATTGAATTGTTATACCTGTGGTTGAACCATCTCAGATTCAAGAAGGAAGTTCCGAAGTCTGCAAATTAAAATTTCTGTACTTTAAACAGAACAAATATAACTTTGAAAGTATTTAAGAAGCTGTGACAGGAGGCTGCATAATGCTATTTTTTCTGCTGCTGCTTTTATCCAGAATAAAGCTTAAAGTTAACATCCGAGCTTTAGTTTTTTACGTGTAAACCAGCATAATTTATTTTGAATACATGAGAAGGAGTCGTTGCTGCTAAGGTTAAGGTATACTCACTTGAGTAATCTTCAGAATTTATTGGAACAATTTCTTATCCTGATATGATGCATGTTTCTCTGTTCTCCATACATTGTGATGTATGACTGTGTTCTAACATGCATCTTCTTTTTTTCTTTAGTGTTTTTATATTGCTTTCCTGCAATTTCTCTTCTTGGGCTTTTCCCTCAAATCAACACCTTCTGTGTATATCTCTTGGAGCAAATAGACATGTTGCTTTTTGGAGGTTCTGGTAAGTAGCCAGTTGCAGCCTGAGCTATCCCTTTCTGGGCCTATAACCTTAGATAAGAGTATATTATTGCATGTTTTAAAGCACAGTGCATGCTGAAACTCAAACAGCTAATGGTATTCATATAGCAATGGGGTCAATAGTAATAAGACCCCCTTGATTTGATTTCTTTTTTCTTTTGAAAAGTTGTATACAAGTTGTGCTATAGGCTGCAGAATGTGATTGACATCAAAGAGCTCTTTCCTGGCATGTCTGATGTGAATCTTTACTATAGTTATAAAAAAGAAAAAAAATATTTCTGTTAAAACTCCATTTAAAAAATAAAAAATGTTTGCATTGTTCTGTAGTAAGGCATGCTCACAAGATATTGGATGTGTCATTTTTTTGGTGTTACTTCAGTCAGAGTTTAAACAAGGCCCATGAGAGACAGTGCATTGTTTTTTGTTGGTAGTGGTATTTTTTGTTTTACATTATAGCTTAGGTAACAGAGAAGATTGGGATGCATCTACACTGTCCTCTTAGTTTGGATCAGAAACAAAGCTCCTCCTTATTCCCACTTACCGCATGTTTTGCATCATGGAATGATGTTGGAGTATACGAACTGGATTCTATTTGGATGAAGCTCAAAAGCAAGGTGCACTGTAAGGGTGCACCTATTGCACTCCGAACACTAATGAGCATACAGTCTGCGAGACCAGGCTAGAGATAGTTTGCAGTAAGGCATCTCAAACCTGTGTATCATGGATATGACATCCTCAGCACTCTTCATTCCACAGACCCACGCTTACTGCAGTGCTTGCTACTTTAGACATAACCTTTGGCAAGTGGTTGAAACCGGTACAGATGATAGGAATGTTCTTTGCTTTTTGTCTCATAAATACCATAGCAGACCTGGAGGAAATAACATGTTGGATAAAGTCCCCATCCTATCAATAATGATGATTCCAATGTATGTTGAACCCTAATTAAAGCACAGTTTTGAAGCCCCTATGTCTCCATTGCTGAGACTGCTGAACTCCTAATTCTGTCTGACAGCTTTACCTATCCTACTTTAACCCTCTCAAAGGAGGTTGTAGCAAGAGATCAGCTGGCATCTTTCTCTCTCCCTTTAAGTTCATTGATGTATCTTGATATGGTGCAAATCATGGTTGACCAAGCAAGTTAGGATGCTTTTGGATGATACCAGAGCCTATGTGTTGGGAGCAAAGGGAAGGAGGAAAACTCCACATGGAGTGTGACTAGAAAATTGTCAGTTTTGTAGATCACTTCATTCCTCCTTGGTAGCAACATGAAGAGGCATAGTGATATTTTGGCAAAACAGTGTTCGGTACAAAAAGCAATAGTGTGGGACTTCAGGTCAATGGAAAACACACGGAGTATAGTGGCATTGGGCTTTCAGTCTTAGCTGTAAACAGTTTTGTGAGCTTATTTGGGGCATTGAAGGTATTCTCTCAACAACCAGCTTTGGGATATCTGATTTCAATCTCTATACCTCTTGTGATGCAAGAGCTGTTTAATTTTTATTTCTCTTGATTGCAGATTCTCATTTAGGAAGCAATTAACTAACATGTAATGTCTGTATTTTAGCTGCTGCTGGGTTCGTATCTGCACTATACAGCATTTCCCGAAGCTTTGTGGTTCTGATTGTCCTGTATGCTTTCTGCTTCAGTGCAGTGAAGGTAAGCCAGAAAAAAAACACTGCAAAAATTCAAAATTTCAAGCTCAAAATTCATATAATCTAAGGAGACCAGCATTGTTTGGTGCTACATTGTCATTGTTGTTTATCAAGATAAGCTTTACAAACCATGCTTCAGGCTCTGCCTATTAGCTATGCTGAAATAGATTGAAACTGTAGTGGAAATACTGGAATAAATGTGTGTTTAATACCTGTGACTGTTTGCCTCTCACAAGTATCAGTCTGAAACGATCCGTTGAATTTCCCCTAGAGAGACTAACAGCAGCCTTGGCTGAAAAAGCTGCAACTCCTATTGACCTGTATAAGCCAGACTGAATCTGGTCAAAATTCCTAGTAAGGTCCATATTTCCAAAATGAAAAAAAAAAAGGATTTTGTTGTTGCTTCATGACAGTATGCTTAAGAACTGAAATGTCCAGCTTGGGCAGACTAGTGGGCCATCTAACCCAGTAATGTGTCTGCATCCACAGGGAAGTGCAATTTAGGAATTTAATGCGAGCCGGATGACTGTTTGCCACTCTTTTCCCTAATATTCCACCAGTATCCACAATTGTTGGATTAGGGATGTTGGAGAGTGTGTCCCCGCTTATTTCATTTGGTATCTGTGAACTACTTGTCTATGAATTTGCTCTTCCTGAATGTGCTGGTCCTGTCTGTTTTCACAACTTTGTGCCAACAAATTCCAGATCTTCTCTGTGCTCTGTGCCAAGCAGTGTAGTCCTTCATTGGTTTTAAACTGATCTGCTATTCACCAAGTCTTGCCTATGCCTAGTATTACAGGATTTGTGGAAGAACTGTTCTGCATTCACCATATCCACTGCCTTGGCAGTTTTGTAGGCATCAGTCATACTCCCCCAGCCATCTTCTCTTTAAACTGAAGAATCCCAGCCTTCCTAGTGTAAAGTGGCTGCTCTCAGGAGTAGCTATGTTAGTTGCCCTACTCTGTGCCTTCACTTACTCTATTGTGACCTTCAGATGTGGAGAATAAGTTGTGTATCATGCTCAGGTTGCAGCTGTGCCATGGCTCTATGTGCTGGCAAAATGACTGGCTGCCTTGTTCTTAGTACCTTTCTCAGTGATGCTCAATGTTGTGTTTTTGGCAGATGCTGCATTTTGAGCCATATTCAGTATAAAGCGTTTATTTTTTGGCAGTTAATGTATAAGTCCTCTGCATTTTTGGTTTTATTTAAAAAATAGCAATGAAATTTTGGCTGCCTTCGAGTCTGCTGTAAAATTCCCAGTGACCACAGCAAGACCAGAATTTCATCTTAGACTTGTGATAAAATTTATCCTTTAAGGAACAGTCTTTTGACAGTGTTTCATTACAGGCTAGATGCTGTCAGTGCCCTTGGAGGGGTGCACCAGGGTGTGCAGCGATTTACAAGCCGCTCTTGACATCTTGCGGTCATACGTGAGAGGATGCTTTGTGGTGCTGCAGATGCATACCACACACACAGATCCCAACGTGAGGTTCTACAACAGCAAAGGATGTATCATGTCAACACCCAGGCTGGCCATTTACACAGATGAAAGGGGCGATCTTTAAGAGAATTCTTTAAGGAACATAAGCAGTTCTATAATGGCTTTTAACAATTTTCCACTTAAAACTTTGAATAGGAGCCCTAAATCAAAGAAGGTCAATTATAGTGCCTGAATGGTCTCTCACAGATAATCAGAGCTGGCTGTGCATGTGTTCTTAACCACTCCCAGTAGTAAGGTAAAATGCGTTAAGCCACCATTTTATCTTACCCCTGTGTGGCTTGAGTCCGTACACCATAAATTATGGCAACTCAGCTGCTGAGCGGTGCTGCGTTAAGACACTTTAAGTGCCTTTGAACATGTGGTGTACTCCCAGGGAATCCTCTGCTGCCAGGCTCACCCAGTATATCAGTTATACTGACCCAGCTGTGTGATGCTAGAAAGCTTAACTGCTTCTTATGCAGTTTCCTAAAGTACTCCTGCTACTGTTTTCTGGCTATATTAATGATTCGGAAACTGGCAGCTGGGATGGAGAAGGTGACTGTCTGTAGGGATGAACAGAGTGAGAAAAATCTAAAACGGGGGAGAGAAATAATGAGGAAAAATGGAAAGAGCTATATGGAAGGAAGGAATTGAGTTAAATCACTGTTCAACAGGGAAATATCTGGGGGAAAGGATCTTCTCCCCCCCCCCCCCCCCCCCCCCCCCCTCCCCAAGGCTAGCAGAGGGTGATTCACTGGTTGAGGGCAGGGAAGTTGTGTGATGGATACTTTAAAAAATAGTTTTGTAAACAGTATTAAAGAAAAGCCTCTTAAAATATTCTACAGACTCCTCTCTCAGTGTAATACTTTAAATTACTGCATGCAGGTGGCTTTGTAGATAAGCAATCTCCTCGTGGATTAGACTTCAAACTGCTTAGAAATATGCTTTTAATGCTACCCTGAAGTTGTAGAGTGCTGGGGAAGATTTAGAAGATACCTGTTGTAAATTACCAATATTAAGTGCAGACTTTCTGTTCACACAGAAATTACAGTTAATTTGAATTTTTATGGCACTGTTCTTGTGAAGGCACTTCTGAGGAGGTTAATTTAAAGCATGTAAAGATAATTTCACTTGCTTCAGCTCATAATCTCGGTCTACTGGGGTGCTTGAAATTTCATACATTTTTTTCTTCTAGAAGTTATGAAATAAGCACTTGTGTTAACCCTCTTTGTTCTTCAGTCAGGTTCAGAGATTTTTTTCCTTTTGTGCTGTTGTATATGACATTGCAAGAGAATGATTCTTTGGTTGGTGGAGGAGGAGTAGGAATTGGCTTAAATGTAAGAGAAGAATCTTATCCTAAATAGAGACCTCTGTGAAAGGTGGTCTAATACCCCTGTAAGAAACTAGAACTGTTTTGATATCTAGTGAGCAACAACTTCTGATCCTAATCAAATGAAGGTTCAGATTTTTGATGCACTACGAATTGCAGAGTTTAACTCAAAACTGAGCAAATGCTATAGTTTCATTGAGGTATTTGCACAACGGTGATAAGTACGTGGTTTTCTTTAAGGTAGAAATGGCATCTCTTCCACACTTGCACTTTACAACTATTCTTTATTTTTTATTTTTATTTTACTCTTTTCACTTTTAGTCAGTTTGGCAAAACCAACAGGGCAGCATTTTCAATATCTGTGGAGGTCAAAAAATAATCACAATCAAAAAGATTCAGGCTAGGGAAACATGATAGACTCTCTCTGGCACGGGACTTCTGCGTTGCAAAGCTTATTTCTTGGCTGAAATGTAGCATCCTCAAACGTAAACTCTGTTTATTGGCAGAACATCTTATAGCTCAGCAGGTGCAACTAGCAGAGTTCTATTTCCAGAAATAAATTGCAGAGGAGAATGGATCTCTTAAATGGTTGTGTGCTTTTTACTGGTGAACGATTGCTGACATCAAATGCCCAGGTTGAAGACCCATTCCAGCGGTATCAGGCTTGAGCCTCTCCTTCCTTAAGTGGTTCTTGTGTTTTAATTGTTATCTTGCAGAGTGAAATAGTCTAGCCTTGTTTCTCTGTGTATGTTAAATATTCCAAAAGGGAGGATGTTATTCCTGAAGAAGTTCAGTATAAGAATAATTAATTGACCACACTATTTTCTTTTTTGTTAAAATAATGTTAATATTGTAATAGATCTGTGTTCTTAAGTGAGTTTTTCTTGTTCAATTTTAGAACAGAAACTATGTTTATGTACGTACAATAGTTTGATATAGTTACAGGCAGATTTTGAAATTATTTTAGAATAGCAAATTCACAGCAATTAAATTGGAGTTCTAAAGGAAAAAATTTAGAAAAATTAAAAAGTAAGAATGGAGCAATTGTCTTGGGGTATGTCCACAAAACAGTGTAAGTACTCCAGTTATAACTTTCAACATGTGAATATAAGCTCTGAGAATTGAGACAAATAGGTCTATGCTGAAATCCTGTGCCTTGTCCAGACTGATTTTGCTGTTGAGTTATGTTGTACAAAACCAACTGAGAGTGTCTATGAAAAAGCAGCTGTGGTATAGACGTATCATTAGTTTAACTTAATCGTTGTCGTTGATTTTTGTTCAGATAAGTTGCCTGAGGAAAATTATTGTACAGTATTCTCGATTGAGAGTTCATACTATGATCTGCAGACAAAATTGCGCATGCCCAACAAGTTCATCTGGCCCTGCCACTCTTTCTGAATGTCCTTGCAGCATCTTTGCCATTGCGTGACCAGAAGCATTTCTCTCTCGTAGCTAAAATGCACGTATTGCCTAAAAGAAGACGGACAGATCTCTAGTCTTGTGCCAACAGTGAATGTGCAGGTTGGATCATGTGTCAGGTTGCTTGCATGTCCCATCACAAGACTTGATCAGAAGCATATGATGTGTTTCGGGAAGTGCACATGCTGCTCACCTGGGGGAAACAGGGTGTTCTGTGACCAATCGTGCACTTTCCACACATCTGAAATAAGAGACAGTCTCTCCCTTGTGCCTGCCTAAGGCCAGGCGCAAACTCATCGCCTGATGAGGAGACCTGTGTTTGAGTTGTGTGACTTGGAGTTGAGACGAGTTGGAGGAGGAAAACAGAGGTGGTGTTTGGAGGTGACTGAGAAGCGAAGGGGCCCCACGTGCTCCGGCCAAGCGATCAGCTCCCCTCCTCAGGGTGCTCCTCGGCAGCTTTGCCCTTGCTGGATGCTTGTGTGGAGGAACTGTGGGTCTGCAGTTTGTCAGGATCTCCTCTGGTCGTGGTGCTGCTGGACTGATCAGTTTTCTTTTTGTGTAAAGCCATCGAATTAAAAAAGAAAACCCAAACTTGTTCACAGTAGGAAATACAGAGTATTGCATCTAAAATTATAACAGGTGATTTCTCCAGAAAACCCCAAAACACAAAAGAGCTGGAATTCTAGGTCTCCATCTGTGTGTTTGAGGCCTTGAGGACTGATGGACAGGACAGTGTTCATCACTGTTGTCAGGCAAAGGAGTGTGTTGAGTGGAG